ACCTGAAATGACTCATTTAATCATCCAAAACGTTATGGAACACATTAATTAACTGAAAAATGTTGCATAGTGTGCCTTTAAATAGGCCCTGTTTTAAATCTATGCATTTCCTTTTACCCAAGTTTTGTGTGTGTCATTATTGTCCCTACCATTGTTTATTTTCTTTTTTTTCCTGTGTTTTGTCATCCTGTGTCAATGCCGGTTAGTTTTACAGCACCTTTATTGTAGTAAAGTATGCTCTATAAATAAAATTGAATTTTATGCCATTAGTCTTAATGTTTATTTGCTGTCAGAAATGAGCTGTTAGATCTGATGATGTCATCACACATTAGGCCTCCAGTTTGTCAGCTAGTAAATTATTTAAATGTCTACCTGTGAAACAAAAGCAGCAGACTACTGAAGAAATATTTTCCATTTTTTATTACGAGAGCATTGCAGTGCAGACATCAAGTCATTCCTGAGTGATGATGGGGGGTATTGATTACTACCCGGCCACAGAGATGTCTGCAGAGATTCACATCCAGACATTTTCAAAAAAGCATGTTCTTCTGTCTTTATATGTGATGCAATAACCTTCATTCTGTATTCTGATACTACCACACAAACTCATGTTACTTAATAAGCTCGATATTACTGAATGGAGATATGTTTATGGGTAAACGGCAGCTGCATAGCTCCTCTTGCTGCAGTGGGGTCTAATTGTTTATAATCTTCCACAGCAGGTGGTGTGCACAGAAATAACCTGTGAGATATTGTTGTGCTACATCAGACCATAAATGTGACATTTTTTTTCTCCATGTTGTTTTTCCATGTTGTTTTATACCACCCATGCTGTGCCTTTGTCTTGGCCAAGTTGTTTCAGTTGCACATTTCTCTACACCTTTTCCCAGCTCTCTTCTTTTGCTGCTTTGCTTCCTGAGGTGCTCAGAACAGCGCTTTGCTTTTTATGCTAATCACTGATGTTCATATCTGTCTGATTGGGATGCAGGATGTTCTCTGTGTTAGAAGAACGCCCCTTGTATGATGTGGTGGGTTTTCCCCCCGGTGTCCTAAAGGTTGCAGATTGCATTTGGTCCATAAGGCTTTAGATCTGACGCTTCTATCAGCTGCTGTCAACTAACCTTCATTAGAGAAACATGTTTAATCTAAAAGTTGTTTTCTATAAATGGAACATTTGAGGGAACTTTTCTCCATGACTTATAATGAGTACAGGACTTTAGAACAGGAGAAAGCCAACTTGTAATTGAACTGATTTACATCCAGGTGGACATACCTTTCATACTTTTTGGCAGAAATGATAAAGAACTAATTGGTTTAGAACAATTAGGTTTCCACAACAGGATTTTTTTTTCTTGAATCTATTTCTGTTGTCATTAGATTGGGAACTATGTGCTTTATTTATTTTCAAATATATCAGCATCCCATAGGAGACAATGTATAGGCCCTCTTTTTGCAAAAGCTTTGTTTTCTTTTTTATTTAAAAAAAGGATACAAATATTGTTTTTTTTTAGAGATTAAATTAATTTTCTCCAAAGGACATTTGTGTCCCTAAAAAACTTTAATTTATCAGGACTGAGTGCAGAAAGGGCTTCATAAAGAGTAAAGTAAAAAAAAGAAAAGTGTGACACAAGTGTAAAGTGTTTTTTTGCACTTCTGTTACACAAATGATTGTCTAAAAAATTATTCTTACAAAATCATTTCTTAAACAACAGGTCTTACCTATAACAGGTTCCTCTTCTTTTTGGCCGTTCATGCATTTTTTTTTTTCAATGTGTGTTATCAATTCATCATAATGTGCAATGTGTGAATAAAATATTAGAATAAATATCCTTATTAAAATGGATCCAGCTCCGGTCAGATATTTACATACTCCCATCTCGGGCAGCTTTGTTATTTTAGCCTTTGGTAACTTTGTAAATTTTTACTTGCTGATTGTAAAGCATACATCAAGCTCAGTGAATTCAGGTCAGCTAAACGGAGGCCTTACTAGCTATATGTAAGCTCACTTTGTCTTTTCCTAAAGTGTTTTTGGCACATCTTTTAGATTACCATCAAATACAAACACTCAACTATGTCCGAGTTCAAACCCTTCAATTCCCACCCTGTTTCACCTGGATAATGGAAAATCTGTAACAATGTTCAGGAACAAGTCAAAAACCATCATGGTTCAAGACCAGTCCAAACTGGAAACTGTTGGATTATTAGCCTCAACATGTGGTTGGAGGGTGTCCATCAAGACAGATGAATTATTTAAAGAATTATTTGAGCCTTGATCTTGTCATTTTATATGACAATTCAGCGTCTCAGAAAATGTGATTATTGTGAGAAGGTTAGATACAGGAAGCATATGCTGCCATGCCCTAATTAGTTAATTAAAGCAACACTTTTTAAACTTTGACTCAAGTATTAGATCCATTTGAGATGTATATCTATATATATGTGTGTAGAGCAATGCAGTATGATAATGATTACAGCTTTATTATCATTATAGTTATCTGTCACATCAAGCTTTTTTTTTAAACACAGACTCTACATCAAAGTATTGCTCCAATTAAACCTCAATACATATCTGATTGTCTTCTGATATCAGAATTTAAAATAAAAGTGTGTATTTTGCAGCTTTACCATTTACTTTAGAAAGGATTTACTTTACGGAGCGCTCTGTGATTTGTTTCTGTGGGTGTGTTACGGCAACCTGTGCGCTGCCGCGGAGGGAGACAGCATCCGAGGGAGAGAGAGAAGGTGCTGGCCGGCTCTACTTTCCACCGGCATCATTTTCGCCTCGCGGGCGGACGGTTGGTGAGTTTTCACCGAGGGCTGCGATAAATCTCAACATTTTACAACGAACTAAACTATTCTAACTTGCTATTAATTATATCCATCCGAGTGAAATTGAAGCTTTTTGTCGAGGTGTTTAATGAGACTTTACCTTGTCGGTTTACATTGTGTAAAATTTTTATAGACCAGTATTTTAGCCACATAATTTTTAGCTAACCGTTAACTGCTGTTGAAACGGTTAAAAACGTTCAGGCGGTAATTTGATATTTTTTCCCCTCTTCTTTCACCATCACCACCTGGGCTTAAGATCCAATCAAGTCTGAGATCGCCAACCGACTGACTGAAAGAAAATGGGGGTAAGAAATTATATTTTTTATTCGTGTAAAGCTTTGATTTCTGCTCTTAAAATATCGGCTTTTTTTCTGGCAGCGCTATGTGAGAAGGTGAGCTGGTGGAGGAAAGGGTTAACGGGGATGAAGGCATGATGTTTGACATTGAACGCGGTGGGTTAGCTATTTATCCAACCGTTTAAAGTGCAGCTCAGTCTTATTCCTCTCAGAAAAGTCTTTACAATAGATATCCGACCCCTAATCTGTTGGTGTTACCATGGTGACTGGATTAACTGGGGGGATGCTTGATGCAAGGATTTGCTTATTTTTTATTCATTCATTTATATTGCAATGGATTATAGTGCAGATTTCTGACTCCTCCGTATTTATTATCCTTTAGTCAGAGGACACAGGTTAAATGCAGGTGATCAAACTGGTTCTCCTCCTCCAGGAGGTGCTTTTACTCCACATCCTAACAGGGCGTTTGACTTTCACACCGCCTGTCAACCTAAAAGCGCCTCATTTATCCCACATGTTTGGGTATCAGAGTAGCTCTCTGTGTGTGCTTTGTTTGTTGTTGTTGTTTTTTATGCGTGCATCAGGGTTTAAAAACACGCCAAATCTGCCTCTTAATGTGTGCGATTTTAGGGATTACGGTCACGTACTAAAGGGCAGACGCGTTACCAGTAACGGGACAGAAATATATGCATCATATGCATATTTTCAGATGTCATTAATATCGAAATGTGCACCAGTTAGGAACCAGCATTGATCACCACCGCCTGAGCCGCGATGGTAGGGTGTTTTTCTTCCAGACTGGCTGCAGGAACTCCTGGACATCCATAGTGAGACGGGCTGCAGGTCTCTTCAGTTACTCTCATCAAGGCAGGGAAAAAATAACATGATTTCAACGACAGGATGAGATGTTAAAACCCACTCTGCTGAGGGTGTTGGCTGTAGAAATAAAAGGCTCAAAAATATTAATTTTTTTCACTCTAATTGAATCAATTGGCTCAATTGGTATTAAGTCATTTACACATTACATAACAGAACAATGCATGGTGCCGCTGTGATGAGGCTGGGCTTAGTGACAGGCAACAATTCTGGTCTGGGTATCAAATAGGTGCAGGGAAGTAGATCAAAATGGTTCCCCTGCACAGTGGTGAACACCCCCCTCCCCTTTATAAATATTGACTGTTCAGTCCCAGAGGAAGATGCTCTCATTGAGGGTAGCCGTCCAACACCTTAGTTTAACTCAGAACAGTGGCGATTCTAGACCAAATGTACTAGGGGGGCCAGGAGGGGGCCACCGTGTTTTCATGGGGGCACAGAAAAGCATGAAATAAAAAACAGGGCCAGGCATTCAAATATATTAAGAAAGCTGCATGAAGTGAAATTTTTATTCAATAGGTTTAATTAAAATGCCTTATTAGGTCAATATTAGGGATGGGAATCGAAAACCGGTTCCTTTTAAGAACCAGTTCCATATTTTCCGATTCCATGGCATCATTTGGCAGCTCGCTGAACAATTCTTTTTTCGATTCCCGCAGCACCAGAGCCTAGAGCGCCGGCTCTGGAGAGCACGACTTACGTCACGTTTTTTACGTAAATTACGTAAGTTACGCCAGTTGGAAGAATTATTCGAGGAGGAAGACAACGAGCTGCGGTCACTTTGTGAATCAAAGCCCCGTCTTTCCTTAGCCCAGAGGGTAGATCAGGAAATCCAGCTCTATAAAAGCTTGCCCTCCATCCCCTGCAGGGATAGCGCCACACTGTGGTGGTGGAACAAGCAAGATACGCTGCCCTTGCTATCTGGACTGGCTGAAAACTACCTCTGTGTGCAGGCTTCCTCCACCCCATCTGAGAGGGTGTTCTCCACGGCTGGAGACACCTTAAGCCCTGAAAGATCCCGTATCCTTCCAGAAAAAGCAGATATGCTCATCTTTCTGCAAAAGAACTGTTAATTTTCCCTACTACTGTTTTATAATTAGTATTTTTTGTTATTTAAAATAGGTTATTATCCCATCATTTGTTATTAGACATTGTTGGTTATTAAGTTTGTTCTTGTATTCATTTTTCATTTAAACACAGATGTTACTCCAGTTTCACATTTCCTGTGGACATCTTGATCTTGTTGAGTTTGTAAGATTGTGCAATAGTTAAGTAAACAAAGTTGATGCTGATAATCAAACTGTTTGTTCTCCTTTTTTCCCCAAATTGGAATCGAAAAAAGAATCGATAAAGAATCGAATCGTTTCATAGAATCGAAAAGGGAATCGGAATCGTGAAAATCTTTTCAATTCCCAACCCTAGTCAATATGCATTCATAATTTAGGAATTTAACATATTTTTGTCATAATTTAAGGTAAAGTTACAGATTTCCATAAAATCTGAATTAGAACTCAAGAAAAACTGATAAATTCAGCTGCAAAAATTTGAGCAATTTGTTTTGAAAAAAACATTTAGCAGAAGAAAACTGGGATCCTATCTCAATACCAGTGAAGCTATCAGCTTATTGCTTTTAAATTATTAGAAAAAAACTGAATTTGTAAAGAAAAAAATAAAATAGATCCAAAGGACCTATCAGTAACTGTTTGTTCCAGCGCATATCATCATTAGAATTTCTTTGAGTATTATGTCTTCAGTAGCTACAGGGGCCAGGACATGATCTACAGGGGCACTGGCCCCCGTTGGTCCCTGTCTAGAACCGTCCATGACTCAGAAGCATAAGGAAACCAGGCTGGTGCTCTTGGGTTACTAAGGACAGCCTGTTCCAACCACTAAATTTAGGCTTTGTGATGTCATTATTGGAAAAATCACCTTTCTATTTCTATGCTGTTACTATGAGATGTGCTTTTGTCCTGGTTCTTTCTGATCTAAAATCTCCATTTGTGCTATTCTATTTGTGTTTGTTTTAATGGAAGGAACATTGATAATGTAAAACTGATAAATTAAGTAGGGAACTCTTTGAACTCTGAGGGTTTTCTCCTCTCCACCACATCCAGCTCTAGAGGGCTAGGATGAAAGAACAATCAGGCCAATCTGGGGATCGCTGCTGCTCTGTCACGGTTTGTAACTATGTCCACTAGATTGCCGGAGGGGGACACGGCACACAACTCTGGCTACTTTGCCAAAGAGAGCAGGGGGAGGAGGATTGTTTGCTCATGGGGGGGGAGTGGAAACTCCCATGCTCTGTGATTTACCATCGGATGGATGGAGTAAGAGAGGAGATGCAAGTGAAATGGGCTGTCATGGAAGCAGAGAGAGGGAGCATTAGTTTACCATGCAGTGGGGACCGTTTCACACGGGCCAATTTATTGATAGGGACTGTTGCTGGGATTCCTGCAGGACTTAATGATCAGGATGGAGGATGGGAAGCAGGAAGTAAGAGATTAAATTAATGTCGATTGATGAAGGGCTTAGAGCGGACACTAAATAATGGAGATTAGGGGGGAGGATACAGGGGCATTCATCTTGGGACAGGTGAAAAATAGAAAGGATTGAGGAAGCTAAGAATAGTTGGTAGTGAAATACACTGATTTTGCAATGATAGGATGGAGAACACAGTGATGTGACGTAGGGATGCACGATATCCAATATGCCGATATTTTAAAACTCATGTAGCCGATAACCGATATCGATAC